CAGTAGCAGACATGCATGTTTATTACAATTTTATATTACTGGAAGTGACAACAACAACAACCACAGTAACGACAACTGAAAGAAGAACAAGAAAATATTAGAAGTGAAGAAATTTGACATGTTTTATTTTGAATGATCTTGTTTGAGAAGCTAATATTTTCTCTATGTGACATCCATATAGTAGTATAGATAAAATAATATGAGTTTAGGGTGGAATTTAACAACACCTGATCAACATTTCTGATGTGTAATTACGTGTGAATATGGAACTCGTTTGTTTCAAGTACTTTTTACATGGTGTGACGATGATGAGATGAAAGTAACGAGACACACTCTTGCTAGTTTTCTCTTTCACTCTTTATTCTTTTCATCACGATGACTATTCTCTAACAATAACAATTTATATATTTATTCTTTTTTTCCTTTTTTCTTCTTTCTCTTTTCATGTTAGTCTTGTTGATGTTTGACAATCATTCATTTATCTAATACTTCAATGTCTGATTTTATTTGATATTTAGATTTAGTTGATATGGAAAAACAATATTGTATTGTTATTATTGGAGCTGGTATTGCTGGTCTTTCATGTGCAAAATATTTGATTGACAATAATATTGATGATTTTATTATTGTTGATGCTCATGATGAGATAGGTGGTCGTTGTAAAACAATTCATATTTGTAAGAAATAAATATATATGAATAGAAAAAAAGAAAAAGAAAAAGAAATGTTTGTACATTTTTAGTAGAAAACGAACTTGAATTAGGTGTTGAATCATTACATGGTGATACAACAAATAATCCATTATATCAATTAGCAAATCAATATCAACTTCTCGATAATAATCATAGTAAGATTTTGTTTTTTAATTGATATTATTTTATTGTTATTAGAAATCTATCTGAAGAAAGAAAGAAAGTAAATTGAAGAGTATGATTTCTAAATGAGATTAATAATAGAAGTGATAAAAGTTGTGAATTTGATATAGTATACTGATAGTTTATCTATATGATATTGTAGGAGAATCTGATCGAGATGATTGTTATCATGATGAAGATGGTGAATCCATTGATGAAGATGTTATTGATGAAAT